TTTCTCTCTCTCCCCCCCTCCCTTTTTCTGTCTGTCTGTCTGTCTGCCTGTCTGTCTATCTGTCTGCATGTGTCTGTCTCTATATGTCTGTCTCTGTCCGTCTCTGTCTGTGTCTGTCTGTCTGTCTGTCTGTCTGTCTGTCTGTCTGTCTGTCTGTCTGTCTGTCTGTCTGTCTGTCTGTCTGTCTCTCTCTCTCTCTCTCTCTTTCTCTCTCTCTCTCTCTCTCTCTCTCTCTGCCCCTCCCTCTGTCCTTCTATACATACATGTATACCCAGACGCTGCTGTGACGTTATGCTCTCCGTCAGTAGCAGACAGTCACAGGTACCGTAGGTAGACTCTATGGCTTTTAGTCTGAGCCGTTGTACTTTCCCCGGACAGCCGGAGAGAAGCACGTGCCTGGGCCTGAGAGAAAACACAACTTTGTTTTTTCAGTTCGAGAGTCGCTGCTTTGTCTTACTCATTGATCAAATATTCTCTCACGTTAAAGAAAAAAAAAAAGAAAAGAAAACCAGACCAAGCCAGACCTTTAAAGAAAAAAAAACGTGGGGAATTTTGAAACCTTTGTGGGCTGTGTTCTTAGTCCAAGCTATTTCTTGCGAGTGCGATAAATACCGCAAACCCATACCCACACCCATATCCCCCCAATGTTCACCCCATATGCATACTTAACCCCCCCCCCCCCCCCCCCTGCTTTCTCCTTATGCAGAATTTTTTTAAAGACCAAGCTAAAATAAACGAGCTTATTCCGTCGATGACATTCATCATCTTGGTCGGCCAACATGTTGTGCCTTTTTGTATCGCCGGGTATCACATAAGCTCAGAACTGTTTCCTCCCGTGTTCTTTGTTGTGTTTGTGCTTGTCTCCCCCGACTGGCGTCTGTGGTGTAGCGTTTAGGCGCTTGGTGGCTGTCGCGTGCAGGAGAACCGAGTTCGAATCCCGAGTGGGGAGAAAATGTTTACAGAGTATCTCGGTCTATCTGCTGGGATATTGTATACATCTGAGCCTGGGTTGGTCCTGACAGGCACGGTCGAAAGCCTGCGTCTCCTAAATGGTCTAAATTGTGTCGATGGGGACGTAAAAAACCCCACCTACGTTTTAAACAAATGTTTGATTTTCATTGCTGTGTTTGAAGTTCCTTTTTGCACCACTTGGTATCAGGGTAGTTACTACTTCTTTACTTTCCCTCTGTTGTCTCGGTCTGTCTGTCTTACTTAATCCTTGCACGAAATGACCATTATTTTTGTCCATGTGCTTTTCTTTATTCGAACAAACAAACAAAGCTCAGTACTTTTTAAGTGGGTGGTTGGCGGGTGTTCTTTCCTATAAATTCAAACATCTGTCGTCCTTATCTCCCCTCCTCCTTTTTTGTGTTTGTTCCTCCCTAATAACACCTCTAATCTTCGGCACGTATATATAACCTTATTGGGTTTCAAGTGCCGTAGGGGGCTCTCGTGGCCTAGAGGTTAAGGTGTTGGCCTCTCATTCAAAGGTCCCGGGTTCGATTCCGGGTAGCGACCAAAACATTTTCTTCTCTAAAATTGTCTCCTTTCACATCCTTTCCTGATCTCTAACAATGTTCTGTTGTCTGCTTTCATTTCCACTTTCTGCCCCCACCCCTCACCGCCTTTTCTCCCTCCTCTGGGCTCCTGACTCTTTCTGCAGCCTTTCTACGGCTACTCCTTGGCTCCTCCTAACTGCTGTCTTTCTGCCACACCCCTGATCTTCTGGTAGGAAAGATCTACACCTAGCCTTCTCGGACAAGGGCGAAAAATCTCGGAGGGCCCGTGTGCAAGTTGCGCACGTTAAAGATCCCTTGGTGGTCTAAAATCGATAAGAGTAGGCTTCGGCCGCCACCCGGGCAAAATTCAAAATTTCCTACCAACGAAAAAGTATAAGGTGTGTCCCGCGCGCTCATATGACCTTATGCAGTTGCGAGCGCCGTAAAACCCTATACTAAACAAACAAACTAAACAAGTGCCGTAAAACCCTTACTACTCCCCCCCCCCCCTCCCCCGGGGGCAGTGCCGCTGACTGAAGTGTCTTTAGGCCATTCCCAAATGGGGGTCATTTCTGGTTCTTATGCACAGTAGAATTGTAAATGGGCTGATTCAGCAATGTCATGTTCATAACTGTGCCTGAACTACTACTGGGAACTGCTGCTTTTTCTTTCCCAACCCTTACTATCGTCATTTCCTCCACTGCTTTTGTATGTTTGTCACACTCTTGTGAACCGCTATTTCCGGGGTGCTTTGAAAGTCAAAACAGGCTTTGTGCTGTTGAAGAAAGAGAGATGAGCAAAGTAAGTCTTATTCCCTGTAAGAACTTCTCTGTTGACATTCACCCCTTGCCGCTCATATGACCTTATGCAGTTGCGAGCGCCGTAAAACCTCTATTAAATCAACTCTTTCTTGAACTAAAAAAAACTGTTTACAGCCGTATTCGTGGTTTTGTTTGTGTCTGCGGCACGTAATTATGACCTTATTGTGTTGCAAGTGCCGTAAAACTCTCACGAAAACTTTTTAGAAAACTGCTTACAGCCGTGTTCATTGTTGTATTTGTGTCGAAGTTATAATTGCGTTGCAAGTGCCGTAAAACTCTTACTAAAATGAAAGAGAACTGTTTCCTTCCAGCCGTGTTCTTTGTTGTGTTTGTGTGTCCGCAGAGCACTCTCGGATGTCCCGGGTCCCCGCTGACACGGTCACCCTCACGGACCCGATCTCCGCCACCCGCGTGCTGTGCGGCGCCCTCATCATGCCCACCATCGCCACCATCGTGGGCAAGCTCATGTTCGGCCTGGTGCAGTCCAACTTCCAGAGGACTCTGCTGGTGAGTGCCGGCTGTCTGCTGAGGGCTGTGGTTGTGTGTGTGGTTGTGTGTGTAGGTGTGCGTGTGTGTTAGTGTGTGTGTATGTGTGTGTTTGTGTGCGCGGGGTGGGTGGTGGTGAGGGGAGTGGTTGGAATTGGGGGGGGGGGGG